GGCCCCCAACTCGCTGCACCTCCCGCTCGAGTTCACGTCCACCGATAGCGCTGCGAAGCTCTCGACCAACAGGCTCGTGGACTGTGGCGCGACTTCCGAATTCACCGACTCGGAGTACGTTGCTGCCAATCAGTTCCCGGTCCGACACCTTTCGCAGCCGATCCCGGTCTTCAATGTAGACGGCAGCCCCAACGAGGCCGGCTACATCCGGGACATCGCGGACGTGGTTCTCACGTACAAGGGTCACAGCGAGCGCGTCCAACTCGCGGTCACACGCCTCGGCAAGGAGAAGCTCATCCTCGGGTATTCCTGGCTCCGGAAGCACAACCCGGAGATCAACTGGGAAACCCGGGAAGTCAAGATGAGCCGCTGCCCTGCCGGCTGCGCTACGTGCACCACCGAGGCTCGTTCCGAGCGCCGCGCGGCTCGTTCCGCCGCGCAGTTGCTCAAGCGGCTACGCTCCGGTCCGGTTCCGGCGATCTGCGTCGTAGACGTGGAGGACCGATCGGACGAGGACGAGGACGACTCCGAAGACCCTCCGGGGCCTCCGGAGAATGACTCCAAAGACTCTGGTACCGAGGACAACGACTCCCAGATCGAGGAAGGGGACCGGATATTCTATACCCGGTTCACCCCTTCCGAAGACATCCGGGCTACCGGAACCGTTTCACAGCGGTTAGCGGAGGCGTTCGCCCGGAACTCCGCGCCCCCTCCGGACTCCATTCCGGAATGGGCCCGGGAGTTCGAGGACGTCTTCAACCGGGAGTCGTTTGACTCGTTACCGGAGCGCCGGACATGGGACCACGCTATCGAACTCGTCCCGGATTTGAAGCCCGCGAACTGTAAGGTCTACCCGATCTCTCCCCTCGAGCAGCGCGAACTCGATGCGTTTATCGAGGAGGGATTGGCGACCGGACGGATCCGGCCTTCCAACTCCCCGATGGCGTCTCCCGTCTTCTTCGTCAAAAAGAAGGACGGAGGCCTCCGGTTCGTCCAGGACTATCGCGCGCTCAATGCGATGACCGTGAAAAACCGGTACCCGCTCCCTTTGATCAACGATCTTATTAATCGATTGAAAGGAGCTCGGTACTTCACGAAGCTGGACGTCCGGTGGGGTTTCAACAATGTCCGGATCCGTGAAGGCGACGAGTGGAAAGCCGCGTTCCGGACTAACCGGGGACTCTTCGAGCCCTTGGTGATGTACTTCGGCCTGACCAACTCCCCCGCGACCTTCCAGACAATGATGAACGACATCTTCCAGGATCTCATCTTGTCCGGAGATGTCATGATATACCTCGACGACATCCTCATCGCCCATTCCGACCTCACGCGCCACCGGGAGATCGTCCGGGAGGTCCTCCGGCGGCTCCGGGAGCACAAACTCTATTTGCGCCCGGAGAAGTGTGAGTTCGAGAAGTCGTCGATCGAGTATCTCGGGGTGATCGTCTCTCACGACCACGTGGAGATGGATCCGGTCAAGGTCGCCGGAGTCGCCGCTTGGCCGGTCCCGGAGAACAAGACGGACGTGCTCCAGTTTGTCGGGTTCACGAACTTCTACCGGAGGTTCATCCGGGACTTCTCCGACATCGCCCGGCCCCTATTCGACTTGTCGAAAAAGGGCACCGCGTGGCGTTGGAGCGAACCGGAGGCCACCGCTTTCCAGGCGCTGAAGGACGCGGTGACCACGGACCCCGTCCTGATCCTTCCGGACGAGGCCCGGGCATACCGGCTCGAAGCGGACAGCTCCGACCGGGCTTCCGGCGCGGTTCTCTCTCAGGAGGGTCCGGACGGGAAGTGGCATCCGGTAGCGTTCTACTCCAAGAGCTTGAGTCCGGTCCAGCGCAACTACGAGATCCACGACAAGGAGATGCTCGCGATCGTCCGCGCGCTCGAGGAGTGGCGACACTTCCTCGAGGGCTCGCAGCATCCGGTGGAGATCTGGACCGATCACAAGAACCTGGAGTACTTCCGGAAGTCGCAGAACCTCAACCGGAGGCAGGCGCGGTGGTCGCTGTACCTATCCCGGTTCGACTTCACGCTGCACCACAAGCCCGGACGCCTGATGGGGCGACCGGATGCGCTGTCGCGTCGCCCGGACCACGGAGCGGCTCCGGACAACCAGGACGTCACCCTCCTGTCTCCGGAGCTCTTCCATGTCCGTGCGATCGAAGGTGTAGTGGTGACCGGACCGGAACGTCCGGTGCTCCGGGACATCCGGGACGCGCTTGCGCGTGGTCCGGACCTCGAGGACCCCCTCGCTATCGCCGCGCGAGAGGCCCTCAACGTCCGGGGCTCCCGGTCGCTCCGGTCCGCGGAGTGGCGTGTGGACGACGGGCTGCTCTACTTCCGCGGCAACATTGTGGTCCCCCGGGATCACGACCTCCGACGCCGGATCTTGGAGCAGCACCACGATACCCGTGTGGCGGGGCATGCCGGCCGCTTCAAGACGTTGGAGCTTGTCTCCCGGAACTACTGGTGGCCCCAGCTGTCCCGACACGTCGGCCGGTATGTCGCGACGTGCGACTTGTGTTGTCGCACGAAGGCGCTCCGGAAGCTTCCGGTCGGTGAGTTGCACCCGACGGAGGTTCCGGAAGAGCGCTGGAGCACGGTTTCGGTGGACTTCGTCGTCGAGCTTCCGGAAGCTCACGGGTACGACCCGGTGATGGTCGTCGTCGACACGCTCGGGAAGCGTGCGCACTTTAACGAGTGCCACATGACCCTGGACGCCGTCGGAGCTGCGCGGTTGTACTACCGGAACGTGTGGAAGCTCCACGGGACCCCGGAGAAGTACATCTCCGACCAGGGTCCACAGTTCATCGCGGAGTTCACCCGGGAGCTGTGGCGCCTCATCGGAGTCGCTCCGGCGACCTCCACGTCGTACCACCCGCAGACCGACGGCCAGACCGAGCGCGTTAACCAGGAGATGGAGCAGTTCATCCGGCTTTTCACTAACTACAAGCAGGATGACTGGGACGAGCTCCTTCCGGCCGCCGAATTCGCCTACAACAACCACATCCACTCGTCGACGCAGCAGGTCCCGTTCATGACTGATACCGGACGGCTCCCCCGGATGGGGTTCGAGCCGAATGGGCTGCGCTCGAAGGTGGAAGCGGTTAACGAATTCCGCGACTGGATCGCCTCCAGAGTCTCCGAAGCCCGGGCGGCGCTCGTCAAGGCTAAGGAGGAGTATAAGCGGTACTACGATCGCCGGCGCACTCCGGCGCCGGAGATTAAGGTAGGCGACCGGGTCTGGCTGGACGCCTCCGACATCCAGACCACTCACCCTTCCGCTAAGTTCGCGCACCGCCGCTTGGGGCCCTTCCGGGTGCTCCAGGTCATCGGGCGGGGCGCGTACAAGCTCGAACTCCCTCCCCGGCTCTCGCAACTCCATCCGGTCTTTCCGGTCGTCAAGCTCGAATTGGCTCGGGACGACCCCTTCGAGGGTCGGACTGGTTATGACGAGCCTCTGCCGGTCCTCCGCGGTGCTCCGGACGCTCCGGATGCTCCGGGCACCGTTCCGGACGCCCCACCCGAGTGGGAAGTTGAGGTGATCGTGGACGCGAAGTACCGGTGGGGCTCTCTCTGGTATTTCGTGCAGTGGAAAGGGTATAATTCTTCTCACGATTCATGGGTTAAACACTCCGACATTTTCGCTCCGGAACTCGTCGCGGATTTCTACCGGAAGTACCCCGCCGCACCACGCGCCATCACGACCGCCACCTTCGACTCCCTCCCCTTCCGAAGCCCCGACGTCCACGTCCGGACAATGCGTCGAGGCGCCGCATTCCAAGGGGGGGATGGTGTCAGGGGAGCCCCCGCTCCGGCCCCCGTTCCGGTTCCGGTTCCGGTTCCGGCCCCGGTCTCCGCTCCGGCCCCCGACCCCGCCTCCGCTCCGACCTCCGCCCCAGTCCCCGTTCCCTCCGTCGCTCCCCCCGTCGCTCCCTCCGCCCCCGCTCCCGCGACCCCGCTGGAACTCCGGTTCCGGATACCACGTGGCCTGTGACCGCGCACGGGACCTATGCGCGTCACTCCGGTTGCTCCGATCACCCCGCGCACGTGCTACTAGTCAGTAGGTATTTTAGGCGGCTCCGGGCGTGGGAATCCTCAGACGTTCTTCTCTTCGGATTCCCCACGCCAGGTGCGCTATACTTGTACTTAGTAGCACGGCCTGTCAATTAACCTTCGGATTCCCCACGCCAGGACCCTTGACTTCTCGGGCCGCGTGGTTGCCCTTACATATCTCTTAAAAGAGCTGGATGGGACCATCCTCCATGGCAGTCCAGTCGCCGCTTTCAGACTTCTATTGGACGTCCAAAAACTAATCATTAAGTCTCCAGGAAAATCAAACTTTCAGGGATGGAAGCAGGCCATCTTAATCCCATACTCGGATATAAAATGGCACTCGCCACCACTGTCGAATTCCAGGTCCTTCGCTCTACTCAGACCACTCACATCTCTCTCAACTTCTACAATGCCTTTATCCATGCCAATTCAGCCGTACATGTTAGCTTGCTTGAACAACCGGGGCCTTAGCAGCATTGCCGTTGGCGGAGTTCACCCAAAACATGCGTGACTCGTTTATCATTAAGTGACCTTGCTCATGACCATCATGACTTTGCTATCCAGCAGGATTGCCTGCATGTGCTAGCAGAAGCCCATCTCAGCACGGCACTCTACCACTCTCCTTCCACCAACGACTTCACAATTGCAGTTCTCTAGTATGAAGAATCCATTATCGACGAGCCTTCCAGCGCCCCTGCTACAAACAGTGAATACATCTTCTATTCAGCCGACAGCTTAGACTATGCTCTACACGCACCTAATCTCGCCGCCGCTGCTGACGACATAACCGCTCCTCTCCGCACCTCGCGCTCACATGAAGCAATCAAAACCCCACATATTGATCTGCCTTGAGTTCACACGGAGCCATCGAAAACACCTATATTGATCGTCAGTCCGTTGAATATATCGTGAGGAACGTGGTGTTGCAGCACAAAAGATGGTTGGACTGGGAATTGAACCCAGGACCTTCTCATACCATGTGAGATGCTCTAACCTGAAGGAAGGTTAACCACTGAGCTATGCAACTGAACGATGTGAAGGGAACTCCCAGAAGGACCTTCAACACGTGGAGACTTATGACTACCTCACCTCCAACTTCCCAACTCTTTCTGAAGCCAAGGAAAATGCCGACTGTGCTCGCCAGCTGACTGCCTAGTTCCAGTATTGCAGCTGCCATACTGGAAAGTCCCCTGCAACCATTTGAACGTCATAAGGAGGTCGTCTACATCACCAAGGACAAAGGAACTGCTACCTTCATGATGAGGAGCTGTCCCTGGGCACCACTGGTACAAGGAATACGTGTCAAGTGCTTCGGAAGAATGTAGAGGGAATGGGAGACGACTGAGGTGCTAGTCAAATGTCACGGCTGCACGTTGAATCTTTGGGTCAATCATGGAATTGAGTAGAAGATGTACGTGCAGGTCAACCATTACATTCAGCTGCCACCCAGCTGGGTGTCTCGGGTTCGATCTCGCATTACGAAGGCTGCCAAAGCCCTACTCGCTCCCCGATCGTGTGCATCGAACCAGCAGCCGTCATACTTGAATATGAAATGGTTTCTGTTGCAGCAAGCCGAATAACGTCACATAATATGTACCTTGTACTTTCTGGATCTACAAATTGAATGTTGACTGCACTTGGGGACTGGATGTCCCATGGACAAAATGTTTGCCGTGAAGTGCAGTCATCAGTCAATTCACAGCAAGCAGAAGAAGTTGGAACTTACTTACAATTGGAAACAGAGTCTAGCATGAGTCAAAAGGAACACAGCATGAGTCACAAATGCACTGACTCACAATGAGTCACAACTAGTCATTTTTACAGTGACTCAGGTGGAAACAAGTCATCAAGAGTCTGACTCAGGTAGAAATAAGTCATATGGGCCACTATATAAGGCGGAGCAAGTTTCTGTAGAAACTTCTTACCACTTTGTACCCCCAGTTGAGCATTATACCAAATATTGATTTTGTTTACATCCTCATTCACATACTTGAATTACTAAGCGCACTTGGACATCTCCACCAAGCAACTCACGTCTTCTACTCCAAGTCTTACGTGCCACCTGTTGCATTTGTTGCCGAGCCCTCACCGGCCTCCTGAACCCAGCCTTACACGGTTTTCCTGACCGCTTCTCGTACCACCGTTTCTGTTAGATTCTTTGGAAAGGGATATTCCCGGAGACGTTTCAAACACTTGGGTATACTACAAATAACACATATTTCCTAGTCCCCAAGGGAAACAATTGTTCCACTCAACAACACGGGTGAACTTGATGCCGACTGGCTGTGCAGTGGGGCTGCGCTGTTACAGAGTCTGTTAGAACAGGCAAGCCCAGTGGTCTGAAGTCAACAGTGGGAAACTGAGGACTCCAGTCTAAGCTAGGCTACTTATATACAATAGATAGATAGATGAGTAAGCATGAGTAACTGATTACTAAGCATGAATAAGCATGAGTAAGTGGATCAGTAGGCAGGCTAACTAAATGGAGAATGCTCAATAAGCATATCAGTCAGCCATCAGTCAGCATGACTGATAAATGTAAGTATGATGACTACAACTATGTAAGAGAGAATGACACAGTCCAAACCCATATTCCAACAATCAACTACTCAACCACATCACTCAATTCAGGTTTTTTTCAGCTTATATGGTTTCCTTTGCAATTACCATCAGTCATCCAAAAAACAGCTTGTATGACAGATACTACTGGAGAATGGTTTTGCAACCTGTTGGAATAGTTATCAGTGAAGATCATAGCATGGGTGCTCTTCTGAGTAGCTACACAATAAAAACAACTTTTGCCTTATAACAGGATTGGACCTGCTTATGTAATATCCAGATAGGTAAGGTACCCCCCATCCACCCTCGACGAACGTCACGTGGGCCGATGTGACATTTTCTCTTTGGGTCCTCACCGCTCGATAATTCTGTCAAATAATTACTAGGCTGAATTCGGTCAAATCCTTTGACCAAAATATCTGTTTGCTCATAATCTTACACCTGAGCCAAAAAGACCCAATAGGTAGAGTGATCTGGTCCCAGAGTTACCAGAAGTGATCCGGTCCCAGAGTTACCAGATCCGTCAAGAATTTGCCTATCTCCCTGCCATGCTGGCACACAGTGCAACCACGATAACAGCCTCTGGCCCAAGACCAAGTGCTCTTACTGTATGCATGGGACCAGCTGTCCCCACAGATGCATATTTTGCTCACAAGCTTACAAGTCCACAGACAGAGTGGATCTCCAAGAAATTCTATGGCCACACAACCTATCTGGTATCCATTTCGGAACAGTTTGACACAGCGACATTGATTAGTAGTAAATCTGAACTGATTTGCAAACTCCTCATGCTGGAGATCTTAAAAAAGCCTAATACTTGGTTTGTAGATTCTTTGTACATATATGCAAAATCTGGTCAGAGGATTTAGCGTACAGGTGGCTCTTTGCTTTGATATAAATTGTTTTCGCTCAAAGAACCCAGAATGGAAGTGTGACCGTCACTGCACGTGACATTTGTCGAGGGTGGATGGGGGCTACTTTATTTGCTCAAGATAAATGCCCTTTGCTGGTTTGAACCAGTGATCTCAATGCAAAGTCACATGATCAATTGATGAACTATATATAGTCTACAGAACTTTGATCCACCCTTCTTTTTAATTACCATGTCCCTACAACTTTGGAGAGACATCTCCAAAGCAGTAGTGAGCAGTGTTCGCCCGAACCCCGAAGGCCTTCCGAATGCGAAAGGGTTCAGTAGGGGTTCATGAAGGCCTTCAGATTTTCTCCGGCTGGAGGTGAAGGCCTTCCGAAAGCCTTCACCAATCACGTGCATGTATTATATAATTGCCCCCTTTTTTGCATTTTTATGCCTGCGGATACTGTGCAACAATTCCACCAGGGGTGAAGCAGAATGTTTGACATTACAAAACATATTGCACGGCCCGTGTGAAGCACGAGGTGGAATCAGGTAAAATGGCCGGTATATCAACGGCCGACCGATGACTGACTGGGAGGAGGAGGAATCTGGGATGGAAGCATAGAGACACATTCCGGCAACATTTCACTTGTAATAATAAATTGTATTCGGCTTGTCTAATCTAATCAGGCCAGATAGTGTGGGAACATCAGGGAAGGCCTTCAGCCAGGCATTCAGTGAAGGCCTTCGGGGTTCAGAAGGCCTTCAGAATTCTGGCGACCCAAGTGAAGGCCTTCAGGACGAACACTGGTAGTGAGGCCACAGCAAAAGAAGAAGTAGTGTGAAATGCCAGGTGGCTGAGCTGACTAAAAGCAGCTGACAGATGCTGATCGGCGCAAGGCAGGCAGTCATCGGCATCAGCAGCCGGAACACTCAGGATATGAAGGCCCGAAGGTAACACATCACACTTTCACACTCATGAACCCAAACTACAACCATTCACACCACAGGATCCTGATTAAAAGGCTGCCTGAAGTTTGATTTATATTGTAGATAACAGGGTACAGAATAATTTTCTATTCAAGTACATAGTTATCCAATAAAAAAGGCCTATTAGTATGCAGCCCAATCCAGCTGGAATCAATGTAGAAAACAGTGTCCATCATCTGCCAAATAAAAAGCCTGGGTCTAAACAGCCCATTTTGACACTTAATTCTACTCAAAATGAGCTCAGAACAATATTGCCAATAAAAGGGCTGAAAATAATGTGGCCCGATATCTGGCATATGAGGCTTCTTTTTAGCCATCGGGCGATGATCCGCCGACGGTCGGTGGATGATCGTCACAAGCCAAATTCAGCCTTTTTGGCCCATGACGATCATCGGACGATGATCCACCAATGGTTGGCCGATTGTTGCCCGACGGTCGGCGGATGATTGTCCGATGAATAACTAGGAGCCTGATATGCCGGATATTCAGCCACCTTATTTTCGGCCCTTTTATCAACAATATCCGGTAATAAATCTGGCACCCTGGTATCCGTGAAAATATGCACAGAAATGGGCCGGTTGGTTGCGGGCTTTTTATTTGAAAGATGATTGACCCTGTTTTGCACATTATTATCAGCTGAATTGGGCTGCATACTAACAGGCCTTTTTTCTTTGATAACTATGTACTTAAATAGAAGATTATTTTGTACCCTGTTATCTACAATATAAATCAAAATTCAGGCGGCCTTTCAATCGGGATTCTGTGGTGTGATTGTTCAGCGTCCCGTTGATACGGGTCGGATCTGCCGACCCCTCGTCAGGTCGCTTTTTGCGATTTATCACTTAACCAGTACAACTGCTAGTACTTCGGTACTAGTACTGAGTACTTGGTACTTGAACCCTGTCCGGTGACATACAGTTAGAGTCAGAGCGGAGCTCCGAGCTGCTGATTGTGTATTGACCATGCCGGAGAAGCCGTATCATGTTTAGACAAGTACTTATGCTCTGGGTCCTACTAAACGGGGACTGTCATATTGCTTGCTAAGACCTCTGTGCGGTCATTAGTGAAGTACGAGTTCTTCCCAGGACTTGGACTACACTACGAAAGCTAGATACCATACCCAGGAGAATACCCACAAAAGCCTTGACAACTTTGGAGACCATGACTATACCCAAGGGACTGGATGGCCACAGTCCACTAGACAGGCATGAACCAAGTAGTAGGGTTCAAGGCCGCGACGCGCGGAGAAGTCCTTCAGAGTACTCTAGGAGTACTTGGGAACTATAGAGAGCAATAGACGTATGGATTGCTAGGAATGACAGTGATCGGCATAGTACTTGGCACGTCAAACGAGACATGTGACCAGTACGACGCGGTCTGAGAAGTCAAACAAGGACAAAGGTTGTTCGACGAGAAGTCCACAGTACCTGTAGGAATGCCGAGAAGACCTCTGGAGAGGTCTGGCCTACACGAACTGAGTCGGATGGAGTCGAAACCAGTAGGCTAGGAGATTAGCAGACGAACCAACCCCGGAACATCGGTCAAAGCGGTCACCCGCTGTGGCAGCAGTTCTAGTGGAGCGGCAAAGCACGCCATCGGGCTTTACAAACCAAGCCGAAGTG